TCCTGGGGTCGGAGTTCATGGTGGTGGTCTCTACCCTTTTTTTGTCATTACAGCTGCATGTAGAGTACATGAATGTTTTTCTTTCATGCTATACCAAGTCCTGGGATAAGAACGAGGTTTGTGGATGTACAGTGACACTGTACATACGATCCTACGAATCGGAACTTTACTTTCCGCGGATGGCGGGGGTCGAAGAAGAACTGCAAATGTCATCCTCAATGAGTTGTTAACTCGTCCTACTGCTCGACAAGCCTCGACCATTCGCAGCGTTAACTGATGACGTACATATATCTTTTTCGGTATCGTTGCCAGGGGAATAATTGATGTGCTTCGGCCGAGAGCTTTGCACACTATGTTTTTCTTTGAGAATTCCCCTAATGTCATAATTCAGCCGTGGAAGGGAAGTTATGTGCCAGCTGATTCTTTCGAATAAATTGCTTTCTGCTTTCATCCGGATTCTCGAAATCGTTCGTACCACTATTTCTTGAACACGACGACTAGTAGCTGAGACCCCAGGATTTGAGTCGAATGACGCTCTTTTCTGAATGAATCCATCACCACAAGTCCGCTCAGCTTCGGAATGATGGCAGCTCAAATTTCACAGCAAAAACTGATTCATGGATTGTGTAGGTGGTTGCAGCGTCTCTTATCGCCGCATATAATGTTTGCTCATTCATAAGATGTGATATGAGAGCAGACGTCTGCGAGTTCCAAATGAAAGATACCCTGGATGTTGAAATCGACGTTTTTCAAGCCTTCACAGTTCAAAATAGAGCGCCATTTCTCACAAAAAATGCAAGCAGAATTACCTTCAGACGTATGGCACTGTACATCGTTGCGAAGGAATCAAATTAACGCAGGAGTTCCCCACCACTTTTCCGTTTTGGCAACACAGTCATTTTACAGCCAACCCCTATAGGATCTAAACAGCCCTGACATTTCAGACCTGCTCACTGTTCATTCAAGATTTAAAGGATACAGTCTTTTGGTGTTAATCAGTTCCTTCTGAGGGATGCGCACCCGGACTCGATGTCCACATTCTGAATTAGTGATCTTTTGTATGCTTATGTGGCCTATACAATGAATTGAGGTTGCCAGGCGATGTGCAAGTCAGTGCTTCCATCCTCCCAAGTAAGTGTGGTTTCCAATGACCGACTCTGGAGGGATGGAAGAGAGTGAGTGAGAGGGCGGAAATGGTGTAGTAGCAAGTGGCGCACTATCTCACACACACACGGCTATGGGTTCGAATCCCGGATCGATGTCCGCCTAGGCCAACCAAGCCTTCCATCCCTTCCTGGGGTCAGTTAATTGATAGCAGACTCGTCTGGGAGGTTAAAAGCACTGACTTGTACATCGGCTGGCCAGCGGAAGTCATCGCGTAGGCCAAATATGTACGCATTCAACACGCCACTACGATTCTGAGTAGAAGTCGGATACTAGGCGCATCCCTGTGACGAGATTGATCAACGCCCCAAAAGTTCTTCCTTTTTAATAGGGCCAATTGCTGTTTCCACAGGAACAGTTAAGCTTTTCCTTTTCGACATCTGAATGAGGCGTAATGCAACCAGGGTTGTCAAAGTCACGGAGGGTTACTTCTCGACTTTTGATTCAAAGGTTTAATAATATTTTGGGAGCCACTTCTGGTCCAATAGTCATTACTGCAGAATCAGGATATTATTTGTTTTGCAGTGGGTGCGACCCATTCAACGATGTTTGGGGTGTGAATCAGAGAACACTCAATCTCTCTCCGAATGAGCGATATATTGCAATGTAGATAAGACCCAAGAGATTGGCCTATGTTCTTGAGAAGCCACCTATCAGCTTTAAACGGCGCGATATTCACGTGATCTATCGCTTTGTGGTACGATAGGGAATCACCCCTTTTGCCGAACCTGGGCTGATAGTGATTCACCGAAACATCAAAGAACCAACAGTCATTACGATAACAACAAAACAGGACTGGAATAAGTAAATTACAACAACACAGTTAGTGAACATCACATCGAATGGGGAAAGCAGTATTCGCTATACTAACAGTTGTACAATTGAAGAATTCTAGAAAAGGCAACTCAGAAAGGCTGCTGAAGGGCCGATATCGTCCAAGGGAATAGTCTTAGAGCATTGTGGCAAGGACAACCTTCAGTGCCATAGTGCAATTCAAAAGTTTAGACCCATGATCCTTCAGACAGAAAATACATTATAGCAAATATTCCAACTATTCTCAGAAAAAAAACTCTGCAAGAATGGTTCGAGCATAATCTTATATGAATCTCAGATACATGATACCTTTCGTTCTCTAGCTGTATTCCTTCTGGTTGGTTTCCATTTTATTCAGTGGCTGTAGTTGCATATAAAGGACTTCTGTAACCACTTCAGACGTCTTTGGAAACTTCCCATTTTTTCAGTGATTCACACAGTCTCCTACACTTTTTCTTTAAAGGCCGAAATCCTCGCCTTTAAAGAAAAGAAAAAAAGCTAACTAAAGGGACGAAGCCTACCCACCTTCCCCAAAGCGTCAAGGGAGTTGATCCTGAATGGAGAGATGTCGAGTTTCGGTTTGTACGGCATCCTCTCCTCGCCTCATGTAAATTGAAACTCATTCAAGCCAAATCAAATCAGTTGGGAACAGTGCAGCATTCACTGGATTTTGATTCTGAGTTCAGTTTGTAATTACCAAAAGGAAGCCAGAGACGGACTTCAATAGAGCAATCAAGAAACATTTCCTGAAATAGTACAGAGTACTTAAAACTTTTTCTACCTTGACGTCGGACGTTCACGAAATTATCAGGCCATTAAAAAGGACACAACGGCAAGAGAAAGAACTGCGAGTGACATACACGTGCATGTTCAGCACCAGCGAGAAATTCTCGCAAATCGTCTGACAATAATGGGTACATACGTGCATCCGAGAAAGCGTGCGGCAAATTGAGCAGCAAAATTCGTGATGGTTCGAAAGACTGGCGCCTAATATTGGGGCACAAACTTGAAGTAGAGTAGTTTAGTGAGGTCAACTGATCCTAATAAGTTTGTCTACTACAAATATGGGCCAAACATAGGCCCTAAAGTGGTTCAAATCGCCACGAACATCGCTGCGCAACTTGCCACGCGCATCCCCTGATGCACGTGAGTTCCGTCCCCTAGCGATACCTGTTGGGGAGACGGGCGTTAGGAACGATTTTGGGTAATCGATTCGCCGCACTCGGCTATCGCGGACCACTCTTTCGCCGTTATTACAGCTCTAGCGTTCTTCATACAGCTCAATCGATATACGATCATTATTTTATACATAATTCTACTATTAGTACTTTTGTTCTTGTATTTCTTACCTACTGCTGCATCCTGTTACATTCCTTCGCGCNGTTACATTCCTTCGCGCGCGACGCCCCTCTCACCGCGACGCGACCATTTCTTTCCTAACGCACCACACCCCATATGGTTGAGTTCGATTTCGCATCGAATACTTTGCTTAAGCTGCAACAGGAACTCAACCATATGTTATCAACAAGATGGCCACCGACTCATGAAAATTTTCGGATATCGCAAATTTCCATGCAATACAATTTGCAAAAGAAAGAGTAGAGAAGAGGATTTTCGGGAGGTGAATATCTCAAGTTAGTAGAACCATACCTTTTAAAGAAGATTTTTTATATGTTGTAAGAGATCAAGTGGAAGAAAGTGAAGTATTTATTACGACTACGATCACAATCTAAGTGAAAAACGCCATGATTTGTCTTGATTATTTCAACAGCGACAGAACAGCTACTCGATTTCCATTTAAAATTCTTAGACACACACTTAACTTATCTAATAACTTAATCGAATCAATGTTTTATCTGACCAGTTCAGCATAATACCAATTAGCCAACCCCGAAAAAAAAAAAAAAACTGAGNTCAATGTTTTATCTGACCAGTTCAGCATAATACCAATTAGCCAACCCCGAAAAAAAAAAAAAACTGAGCGAGGGGCTGGATGAACCTGATCTATGACCGCAAAACGGATTGTATCGCAACTTGTTCTGAATACATTGACTCCCATTTCACAAGGGAAATATGGATAGCTGAAGGAAGCTTGATTGTGGTTTGTCTTTACGTCTCCTGCATATTTCCACAACAAGGCAGAATATAATGTTTGAAATAAATTACTATATGTACACATCTACTAACATAAGTTGGTGCAAAACCGATGCGCGTTTTCTGCTGTCTTACCTACCTTCACGACGAAATTTTTTGGATAAAATCATCTACAAATTTAGAAGCGGGATAGCATTTCATAACGTAACTCGCCATGGTTATTAGTGCTGTGGAAGTTTCGAACGAGGTTGGTATTATATCAGTACAAAGACTTGAACACAATAGGCCTAGAGAAGATTCGCACCCAATCCTCTTCAACATTGTTCACAATTGGATTTGAGAAGGAGATTCTTCACAACAACAGGAAGCGTCCTGCATAAGGAAGAAAAAGGATGAACACTCCAAGCATTTATACTGGTAGAAAACATGTCCGGGGGAAACTAATTGCGGGGGAAACTCGAAGAACCGTGAGCTTCAAATACATAGTTGGGCCTTGAGAACTGAGAGATCCGATTTCTCAAACGACAGGGCTTGGTTACACATTTCAGTTGCGACATTGCAAAGGCTTACGAGAAATACTTTGAAGACCATTTTTTCAGATTTCTGAACAACTCGCTCCGATTTTCCGGAAGGAAAGTGGAGCCAAAGCAGAAAAGTTCTGCCTTGCTGGGACGCTTCATACTTCGGCTGGCAAATTTGATTTCGGGACGAGCTATGGCATTGGAAATGAATTTTGAAAACGCGCATTATTTCGGCACCCAATCAAACATTATGAGAACAATCTTTACCTAAAGCATGGGAAACCAAAAGAAATCGTCTCTGCACAGGAATGAGATCCCATAACATCAGTTTGCTACTGAAACCACCTTAGCATGCGACTTAACCTCTAATTGTAGTGAATCTCCACTGATCAAATGGCTTTTCAACCACTAGACGCTGTTCATCTTCTCGAAGAATTGTTCGATGCTTCTTCGAATTTCGTGAAGACTCATTTCACGGTATTGCGCATAGAATGCCACACCCAGCAATATCAGAAGTAGCATGCGAAAGAGTTTTCTTGGCAGTGACGAACTTGGTAGAGCAGTATTAATCGGAATCAATCTGAAATCATGGTCTTCAATTCAAATACTATCATACGGAACCGACAAACTTACATTTTAGTTGAAAAGCTGTGAATCGGTCCGAAACATAGCGAGACGGTGGTCATGACAAAACAGATGACGTTGAATGGCATACTGAAGTCGGGTACCGGTAAGGCTAGAAGCAGAACATTTCCATGCACAACAATCCGTTCAGTAGCGCCCGTCTCTTGCCTGAAACGTTCACGATTTACTAAATCTATTCAAGAGAGGTCCTGATGGAGTAAGAGCAGTATTCAAAAGAAAAAATCTCTGCTTATCACTCTGTCGTCATCCTCAAACTCAACTCAAAGGCAGTTTTGCGCAAGAACATTTTCTCAAGAGTAAAAAGATAAACCTTTGGGCGTCAACCAATACCGCCTGAGGGATGCGCCTCGCATACGACTTCCATTCAGAAATCTAGTGGCGTATTGAATACTATGAGACCTACATACATAATGACTTGCGGTGGCCAGCCGACGTACAAGTCAAAAATACCATCTTCCCAGACGAGTTGGGTACCAACTAACCGAGCCAGCATAGATAGAAAGTCAACGCGGATGTCGGTCCGGGATTCGAACCCGTGACAATGCGTGTTAGATAGTGCACCGCCTACACCACCGCCACCTTTCTCAATAATATGCCAGAGTTTTCGTTCAAAACTACCCCAGATAGAGTTCCGCATTTGAAGGGGTTATTGGAAGGACACTGAAAACTTCCGAATGTGTACTGTCGAAAGAGTTAACATAGCCGTTCACCATCTGAGAAACCTGAGGGATCAAACTTCTGGCGAGTCATAAATGGCTGACACCAAAAATTCCAATGCATTTTCATGAGGTCGTCATCAAAGCAATGCTGTATTCAAACTAGTAGATTCAATCTATTATAACTACGCCTACGTGAATTTCCCGAACGGAGCATGGCCCATTAGACTTGTCGGCTACCATCAGCAACATACCGATAGGATTACTACCAATCAAAGGCTCGAGCCCAATAGTCAGTTCTCTCATTGTTAGAGACTGGATCAGTTAGCGAAAAAATAAAGAGTAATGCGAAACGGGTTCACAGACGTGACATCTAGGAGACGACGTGATAACTAGGAAACTAATTGGTAAGTACCACAAACTGTACGAATTTTCGATGAGTGGCTGAGACGTGACAATCAGGAGACGACGTGACATCAAGGAAACGTACCACATAAAAATGCCTGCACCAGGTTTGGATGGGTGCGCTGAGACGTGACATTCAGAACACGACGTGACATTGAAGAGATGAAATGCCATAAAATTTTTGTCAAGTTTCGATAAGTATGCTAAGACGTGACATCGTGCAAACGAGGTGTCATAAAAATATCATATTTCGATAAATGTGCTGACAATAAGACGTGACATCACGCCCCATAAAAAATTTCTCCATCTCATTTCGAGAAGATGCGAAATCGTATTATTGTCCCTGGAGGAACTTTTTACAGCGAAATCGAGATAGTCAATTTAGGGCCAAAGAAACTTTTCTATTACAGAGGGTTGGAGGGAAGATGCTATCATGCGTATCCTGTCAAAAACTTTGAAATTAAGACAACATTGCAAGCATACCGGACGGATTTCGACTGCTGCCGAGGCAAAATCCATGTCTTGCAAAAAAAGATATCGGTACCAGCGTCCGGCCCAGGTGCTGATGGAGAAACCCACTCACACCAATCATGTTTAAAGTATCAAAAGGAGTCAGTGAGAAAGCTAGCACGTCACTCGGGAAAGGCGCACAGGACGCTTGCCCCGAGTCCTGTGGACGGTGTGTGAGGGCTATCGAGAAGTGAAGAACCTAGTCCGAATCGGGAGTCTGAAGGCCGGAGCTCATATTGGGGAGTCCAGACAGATATGATGGGAGATGTGAGGGTGGGGGCGCAGGAATATCCTAATCCTGTGCTTTTAGAAGACCCTTTGGAAAGGTCAGAGAGATCGGAGATGGACTCGAGCACTACTACAATGGAGACAACACCGAAGGCCACATCAGTAGCGGAGTCCCTCAAAGACTCTGTCTTCGCCGTCAACAGGATCAGCAACCGAATCATGGCTGTGAGGACAAACACGAAAGATGGAAGTGGACTGAAATATCCATGTACGCACCACAAGCCGGATGTCGCAAATGTGAAAAGATGAGTTCTAACTGACCCTCAAAAATGCCACTAGATCAGTTTCGAAGGTCGGCTATCACATCATAGAGGGTGATCTGGACCCGGGCGTGTCGGCAATGAAAGTAGAGGCTTATAGGGGTACATGGAAGTAGGAAAGTAGGATTCAAAAAAGAAGGAGAAATGGCCTTAGCCCTGGTTAGTGCATGACTTGGCAGTCTGAAGCACCTTCTCCGCTTAAAGGAGTAACCCACAGCAGTGGAGGGAAAGAAACGTATATACAGGGTGCGGCAAAAGTTCTGGCAACGTTAAATATGTCCGTAAAAACTGTCAAATCGATCGATACATTATGTAACTTCAACAGCATTTAGCAACAGCTATATAGATTACAAAAACGAACTCGATCTCAAATTAGCCCCCTTTTGCGCGAATACAGGCCGAAATTCTCCTAGGAAACGCGTCGACGGCGGCACGGAGGTAGAGGTATTGACGAGGGTTGCACGTAGAGCACCCAAACTTCTATGCTGGGTGGAGCAGGCTTGCCTTATAACACCGGAGTAGTCCAATGGATTTAGGTCTAGACTGTTTAGGGGCCAATCCTTCGACGAGATGAAGTCTGGGAAGTGCGTCGCGCACCAGTCCTTGCCGTCCGATGTGATTGCCCCAAAAACCATCAACGACTTGGGGTGTCCAGATCGCTGAGCAATTCCTCCATGTTGGCTGGCTTCTGCAGGGCTCCCCGCTATTATCCTATCGTTTTGGGTGATCAGGAATTGATCTGTTGAGAACAGACACTTGCAGTGAAAAGGATGTTGGTGTGCCGTGCCTGCGAAAATCGCTTTAAAAGCTTCTTACATCTTTCGAGCCTAGTTTTCTTCATACGCTCAGTTAGCATGTGAGCTTTCCTGATCTTATAAGAGCGAAGTCGAAGGTTTCTGGTGACAATCCTTCCAACAGATCGAGCAGAAATACCCACCTCAAGAGCCATTTTTCTGCCGGATCTACGAGGGTGGCGGCGGATTTTCTCTTGAATGATTTTCACGATCTCTTTTGTTGTTGCGCTCTTTGATCTTCCAATCCTAGGCTTGTCCTCCATAGTTCCTATCGCCTTGTACCTGTTGATGTTGTTGAACACGGTTCTTCGGGGAATCTGGAGCTGCTTGGAGATGGTCTTTGCAGTGAGATGGAGGTGCAGAATGGAGGCTCGTTGGTCCTTGCTTGTCACCATTCTGTTAAATAGCTTACTTAAGAACGTCCAATTTATGGAATGTATAGAAGAAGAAATGCAGAAAGTAGTGGCACAGATTCTGTCGAGATCGAGGGCTTCATTTCTTATGGAAGACCTGAAACGGGCATTTGCCGAAACTTTTGAAGCACCCTGTAGTCTACGTGAGCCTAAGAACAACCTACTTCAAAAATGTAAGGTATATCAATGCGCTGCATGGCGAAGACTTGGCTTCGCAGCACGCGCCTCTTTCAGACATAGCCATAGAGTTTCGAAAGAAACCGAGGACGAAAACAAAGTGGAGGAGCCAGTGGTGGACGCTGCAGCAAGCCGAAAGAGGGGGACCCAAAGGTAAACTGGTATGAGCTGGTTTACAACATCTTGAAGGGCCTATCTAGCAGGCCTGAGGAAACACTGTGAAAATCATCCTACAGTGTACGAGAGACACACAGAGAGGGACTCGAGGGGGATTCCGAAGAGACAAGGAAGCGTAGTTCTGGAACGATGAAGTGTAGGAAATTGGGAGGCAGAAGAAAATGGCCTACAAGGGCTGTCCAAGACGCGACTCTTGCTAAAGCTGCTGCAGCGAAAGCCAAGAATACGGAAATGGACGCCTTGTACGAGAAGCTCGATAGTCGAGAGAGATAGAGTTCGTTTTGGTTAGCGAAAATACGGAACAGGGCTACTCAAGACATAAGGGGTTAGTCCATTTGAGATTGATGAAGCTCGTCTAGATATCACAGGAGCAGCCAGCTGGAAAATCACAGAGGAATCACAAAAAATAGGTGACGGTACGTGTTCAAGAGGAACCTCACCAAAGCCAAAGTAACGGCAGAAGATGCTGTATTACAGAAGTGGATACGACTGGCAAGAGTAGCGGACCATACGACGGCGCGGGATTAACGTTAGGGAGATGAAAATCAACGATCTCGTCCCTCTACATATTTCCTCTTCTTTCCTATTTTCCTGCTCTTGACGAAGAGCGAGGTGCTGTACTGTTTAAGAAGTAGCAAACGTATGCAGTTCATGAGTAATTCCAAACGGTTCACGTCCCAAAGAAAAGGTATAACATCGTTTGGAGTTGGCCTGCTCATGCTTTGATTTCACCTCGTCGGAAGAAAAGTAATCTGACTTTCTATCTATTCATTAGACAGCACACTATTCGGATCACCCCGCTGATTCGGGGCTCTCCTCTTTTTCCGTTGAACTTGGCCTGGCGCCCGCATCCTTGCGAATTCGGGCGCTGTGGTACAGGATGACGAGAGTTCTGGATTCGCCAAACACATACACATACATACACCATTCCAAATTCAAACGCCGTAGGACTTAGGGAATAATTTTCCGCTTCCAGTGAAAAGAGTCCAGTCCTACAACCTACAACCCATGTTCCCGTCCTGCCGTGTAAACTCCTCAATTCAAGTACTCTCGGTAAAAAGCAACAGGACTCTAAAGGTTCCAGTCTCACACAAATCTCACCTCGTTTTCGACTCCAAAACATCCTGTTTTTTGGAATTATCACTGTCACGCTCTTTCTCAAAAGTGACAACAGCAGCGGGTACATACATTCCATGATTGGCATCCGGTGGATACTCGCGAATTCTATAATTTTTTCAGTATTAATGTATCATCAAAAAAAATGCGATGCAGTGTGAAAAGCTTGAATCCAAGAACCTCAAGAAAGCTTTTTCGAATTCCAGTCGGACTTGGCACTTTGACCTGCTCGGGAGTTCCAATTCCATTTCAATGAGAGCCGGTCTGCGCCGAGATATCGCAGGAACGAAGTGACGTTTATGGATTTTGAACACCTGAAAAGTTATTCTATAGATTATGGAATCGTATGGAAAACCAAAAGCTCTCTAAAGTATTACTATGGAGGCGATTGGTGGCCTCATATTTGTCAGGGGATCTCGTCCAAATATGTGAGTACATAATGGAAAGGACTTTGAAAGAAAAGACATTACCATTTTTACAATCAAGCCCATGAGATTCACATCAATGCTTTGAATAGGAAACTGTTGATTGAGGATTGGTTACTCGATGTATGGGTATCAGGAAGCAATCTGAATAGCTTCAAAGTAATTCGCTCACCTGTTCATTCCCTTGTTCTAAATCCACACACGTGACTCCAATTGTGTGATAATATATCATCATGAACCAAGGTAGCTGATGAGTGAAGGTTACTCGTAATGATGAACCACCATTTTTGAGGATAGACACCAGAACTCCATCATGTTGGTCCGTCCCTCCAATGAATGACGAGAGGCTGCAACTGAAGAGTTCAGTGGACACTGTCATAGTGTAATGTAATCTTTACCTGAGAGTTTCCTGCTCTTCACTCGATAGAAAGTCGAACATATCGTCGTAAAAAGCGGATACGCTGAATGACGGACTTGAACTGTTCGTTTTAAGATCGTATACACCGAATTTATCGCTGACAATTCTCTGAGGGGGTGGCTCAAGATGAATACCCTGAAAAAAAGTAAGTGGCAAAGGAGAAAGACGCAGAAGGAAAGAAAACTACTAAGTAGCTGCATATTCTTTCAGAGTTGTTTGCAAACAAGAGCCGTTTTTTTCTAGTTGAAAGACTCTTTTTATGTTTTTTTTTCGAGTTTTGAAGTTTTCGACTTGTTGGATTCAATTCAATGTATTCCATAAAATTTATCGGGTGAAAATTAGCAGAAGCAGTAACCTTTAAATAATTACTGTAGTAACAATCGCATTGGTAAAGCCAAGAATTTGATTTGAAGCAAATAAAAGTAATCCAAAATTCACAAAAATCACCCCCACCTTATCCAACTCTACTATGACCTCACTGCTTGTAGCTGCAGCGCATGTTCCAGTAGCCTTCCGGTTGAACAAGTCAGATATACTCCAATCTATAATTATCAAATAATTATCAACGTGGATGAATATCACAGAATGAGTTTCATCTCTCCCGTGAATGGTGAATTACAAATTGAATTTCAAATAGGACCCCTCAATCATCTTTTACAAATGTCAAATATGGGTGCAGATGGTGTAGTGGCAAGGGGTGTGGTGCGATTCACGCGCCAATATAATGAGGTCATCGGGCAAAAAGGGCTAAAACATCATGCCTACCATCATAACGCAAGAAATAAGAACTTATAAGTAGAATAAGTAAAGAAATGACCAACTGTGCACGTTTACAGAAGGATTGCGTTCTCTAGAATCGAAAAATTTGGATTTTTTCTTATTCTGGACGTTTAACAAGTAAATTGTTGACCTGTGATGTGAATTCCTATTCTCGAAGGGGCTTCATTGCCATAGTAAAGAGGCAAGGCGCCCTATTACCCATGCATGGTCACGGGTTCGAATCCCGTATCGATACCCGCCTTTCCAACCGAACCCTCCATCCCTCCAGGGTTGGTTAATGGTATCACACTCATCAATAAAACACTACGATTCTTAATGGAAGTCGAACGCGGGGCCCCATTCCCGGACGATGATTGATTAACGCCTAAAGACTTTATCCTTTCATAGCAATAAAGAGCGATTAGCGACAAGGAGTCGATTCATAGAAAATTGTGGCTGCTGCTCTGCGAATTCATCGCTTTGAAAACATGTCCAAAAAATCTCTGACAGACCTAATTTACCACTTTTCACAGGAATATCGAATACGTTGTAGATGATTAATTGAAGTTGGTAGTTGTTGTTGGCACCCTGAAACAAAATTCAATATGAAGAATCGTGTTCTTAGTCCACCACTCTTATTAACGATGCGTTCTTCATGATTCAGAACCACTGAAACACAGCAATGATCAAGTCTGGCTCTGAACTTTGTTGGACCGAATAACCTTAAAATTTTCCACAATAGAACTTTTTGGAAAAAAGTTTGATTAGGTTAAAGCCTCCACACGACTCCTATGCGGAATATTACTGTGCAGGACGCGTAGACGAGCAAACCCTTAGTTCCGAATTATTACGATGCCACAATTCGTAGTGGTGTAACGCTGTAGTGGTGTTGGTGTGCTGCACAGGTGTGCAGCAGCTACGTCGCTTCACTACTCCGCAAGGCACCCTTGGTTAACTGGAGACGATCTCGAAGAATCATCAGTCATCAGGGTCACGTTCTAATGCAAGAGCATTGCAAGGTCCGAAATCCAATTACAAGACAATCCGATTTTAAGGTTGTACTGTAATTGCTCAAATCTCGGACCGATATCCACCTAGGCCAACAAAAGCCTTCCATCCATGCGGGATCGGTTAGCAGGTACCAGACTTTTGTCTGGGAGGATAATAGCACTGATTTCTACATCGGCTGACCATCGCAAGTCATTGTATAGGCCATATACGCATTCAATACGCCACTACTATTCTGAATGGAACACGAATGAGGGGGCCTCAGACGGATTTGTTAAAGCCTCAAGTCTTTATCCTTTGTCCCTTTACCGTATTAGTGCCCTCCCGGAAGAAAATCTGTTTGAACTCGCGAGAAACTAAGCAGATTTTGGAGCGTTGTAGTCTTCTGTGTAATCGACTTTTTATTTCTCTTTGTAATACTTCGAAATCCTTAGTCTCCAGGAAACAATTATCAAAAAATAACCTGGCCCGTTTGACGAAGCTCCACTCCCATGGAGTGATAAACGGATTCATAAAGCTTGAGGGGGTTCAGAAGAGTGACAAGACCATGCTGAAAAGACGATGAAATTTCGATTCATTATCAGTACAACTTACCGAGAACAAAGAGGCTGAGAGAAAGACAATACGAACCTGCTTACAAGGCAGAAGCTTTCGCCAGGGGGTCAAGTTTTCAGTGCAAACGCTTTCTTTTCCAACGGCGCTATATCGAATGTGCATTTCGTGCTCTTTGTCGGAATCTGGCCTACTAAATGCAAAACGAGGCGAAGAAGTTAATTCAGGCACAATACTCGTCATCGCCGTGCAGAATAGGCCATTCAAAGAGTTGATCAGCGTTCGCCATCTATCATCAGCCCTGTAATAGTAGGGACTTCATATTAAATTCGATTAAGGAAAAATGTACCTGACGTAAATGCATACTCAGTTTCATTTCCGTAAATCCAAGCATGAACACTAGCTCCGGTGGGACCATTCGGCTGTGGAGGTAAACCCCAACTAGAGCTATGCCACCGCCCTTGCGTTAACATGAAGGACAATTCCGCTAGAGAATGAGAATGGATGAGCTCGGCCACTATACGAGGAAACAGCGAATAGTTTGCACCTAAATATACCGAAGAATCCTTCGCGCACTCAGCTCAAGTAAACGAGAATAACAGTCTATGAAAGCTCACCTAACTGCGGTCCATCGGATGTAATTATGAAACGGAATTCAGTCATGAGATTACCACTAGGTAATCTTGTAATTTTCAGCTCTTCATTGTAGGAATCACCGCAAACAAAGCCGAACAGCAAAAGAAGTAAGGATAGATGCATTGAAACGTTAATTGAGTAGAGGGCTTCAAGTGTTGTTGACTGAAGCACTCCTGAACGACGTTCATAGTAATAATAATAGTATTCAGTAGGTTTGATGAAAAACCGATATTCTAGACTCAACCACAACTGATATGCGAAAGAATTCCAAAAGACTATATAAAATTTATTCGATAAGGCCAAATTATGAGCGATCACATAACATTGAACCCAATGAAGAATGGACGAGGATTAAACAAAATTAAGAGATCAATTTTCACCTATACAACTACACATCACACAATAAAAGATATGTACATCTGCATCTGATGGTCTGCTATCAAATAGGCTCCGCTACTGGATCCTCTTTATTGAAAAACCACACGATGCCTCTACCTTCAAAATAAAGGGACCCTCTTGGCGAGCCTAAAAATATTGGATGGTAAATAAGAGAATGACGAAATGGAGTTTCATAAAGAAAGTAACACACCTGAAATGTCATGGGGCGAATCGTATAAACTCCAGCAGGAACTTTATCCAAAGCTAGCACGGTATAACCAGGCCTAAATCCATGAGTTACATTCGGCAACGACATAATCGTCGGATAAAAAGAATGCAGAGAGAACGCTCCTATGTACCCTTACTACAAACTAGACTGAAGAAACCGAAGGGTGGGAGGGGNGGGGGGGGGGGGGGGGGGGGGGGGGATGGTGGAGAGAAACATTATTACATTTTACTAGTTCATCGCAATTCACCTGATATCGAACTAAGTGATTACATTCCCCGAACTTATCCTCACCCCCATTTGGCCATTTAGGAAATTAATGTTTCGATTTTCTTTGAAACTCATAGTTGAAAGTAACACGATACCAGTATAAAAATTTGAAGAAAAGAATGGAAACCTGAAGACATCAGAGTGCTTATTCTCTAGTGGTTTATTCCTTGGAGAAGACACTTGTCGCACTTCGAATCCTACGCTGTATTGTTTGGGACCTTTTAGATCAATCAGAATGAGATTTTCATCACTGCTTTCCTCGAGACTGATTTCAAACACGGGATTGTTCCTGAAAAAGCAAAAGAGTTTGATCAACCTAGGTAGGAATATAGCAGCACACACTTCCATGTCTCTCTGCTATCTCCATTTCCGCAACCACCAGCGGTTCGGCCCTCCCATTTTCCCGTCACCTTAAGAAAATGATTGAAAATAGCGATAAAAAAGGACTGCGAATTCAAACCTACTGTTTTCTTAACACTGTAGAGGTTCTTGATCGGATTGAGGGTGAAATGGCATGACGAGAAGACCCGCAAGGTGTAGTAGATGGTTTTCATTTTTTCATACTTAAAGAAAACAAGTATACAATTGAAGTCGTTAGGAATGGTCATGAAATAGACAGTTCATCACTTACCTGCGCTACCACTAAGGTGTACTTCTGTATACCGGGTTCGTTTACGACCATTTGACAAAGATAATGTGGGCTGTTGATACGCATTCCCTCGTAAAGTGGCTTAGGGTCAACTGAATTAAAACAGGACTGAAGGAGTAGAATTTCTGAAGCACGAATAGATCACATACTCGGAATATATATCTTCTTTCCAGATTTATACACCATAACTGTGATGTACTCCTTGTTGTCTGCAAAGTCCGACTGAAAGTGTTCCAAAAGATGAAGTGACGAATTAAAAAACAGAAAACAAAACAACTCAAAAGGCCAATTCAGAATCATCTATCTTCACTACAGTAAGCTTATTCACTCACAATCTCCGTAATGTGCCTGGTGAGCAAAATCCAAACTGCACTAGTTGTTCGATTGTGAACTTCTAGTGTATACTGAGGATTGTCAGCTACGGAGTAGAGGTCTTTCACAGGACCGTTACAAGAGTTCCAAGCTCTATAAGAGAACACACATGTTGATAACTCCACCACCAACATTCCCGCCAGAATGAACGAAGTACTGAGGTTTAATCTCACGCGTGAATTCCATAGGTGAAAGGGAATAAGGCTGGATTCCAGTTCACATAGAAGACTTCAAAGAAACGGCACACTGACTCGAAATCGATCCAAAAAACTCCTAAAGCGATTTCGAGACGCAATATGGTTGGCCAAGATGTGCGAGTAACAGAAAGAACAGTCACTCACCATCATCCTTTGATTTTGCTTGATTTGGATCATAGTCAAGTGCTTTACAAAGTGATGGAGTCCAACTGACTATGTCATTTTCAGAAAATCTTCCTTTCCATCGAAGATGGGTCCATGGATTTTTCACCATCAGAAGACGTTTGCCCTGAAAATTCACGAGTTATAGCAATGAGGCGTTCACAGCAAAGTGCATTTCAATGGCAAACCAAAGCAAATGAAAAAGCTCACGAAGATTACAAACCTTTCCTAGATGGCTTTACTTCATCTTCAAAGGACACGTTCTCGGAATTAGTCACAAACTCAGCGAACATTTCAAAGTGAAACCATTAGCAATTGAAAAGTTGGTAACGCCTTTCCGTTATTAGTGTAATTCAAATTTGACTCGCCTGGGATCAAGCGAAGAAGCTCGCACAGATTGCCGTGCAACCCCTTTTCTTCGAATTTGGAGAGGAACAGCAACAAAACTATTTTCTGTTGAGAGGTTTCCTCTCTTACAGTGGAACTACAGCAAGTTGCACAGTGCCATTTACTACTATCGAAAATTTCCTTTCAATCACTCCGACGGAGGTGAAGAATAGAATTTCGGTACCACAATCGCATGTAATACCATCAAATGGATATGAGATCATCCAATGCCAATCATCAGTAGTTTGTGATGAGACAGAAAACTAATCAGATCGTTTGGCTTACACCTAGCTTTAATCTCGTATGCGACAAATCGCACTACCTGACACTATAAATAAGGCCTGACGTTTTCTTTCCAACCAAAAAAAGAATAACGAAGAGAAGATCAGTTATTGTATCATAGCGTTGATTATTGTCGAATGATGGTATTGATCGTTACTACTAAAACGAAATTCCTACTACTCACACACTTCCAGGCACTAATTTCTAAAGAGGTAACCCGCCCATGCATGTTAAAAATTTAAAAGTGAAACCTCTAACAGCTGGTGTTGCGACATTTTGAATTTCAAATTTATTACATGCTGATAGATATGTAATAGAGCGAAAAGAACTCACGATGAACCCGAAGAATAACTCTATCTTAAGAGCAGCTCGTTTACGTCTTCGCCAGAAGGTTAGACGACTATGGGACCTTTTTCGGAATATTGGCGAACTAGCCGCCACTTAGCCGACATTTTCCTGGCAAAAGGACCGCTTGGAGAAAATGCGCAAAAATGCTGAGCACGTTAACTATCGCACAATAGAATGAAAACGACATCTTCGCAGATGGAACCCAGTCCTGATCGCGACTGGCCTCCATAATGCTGTCAAAAATCTCACCAGTGGGATCCCTTGTTAGCGGTAGGCGTTTCGAACAAAGCCTGAGCCTCAATCGAACCTTACGCAAGCCGTTTTTCCTAGCAACAGTGACGCTTATAGCCTCTTCGAGCGTCACAATTTTTCACTTGCAAACAACGAACCCATATCTCATCCCGAATTGCGCCCTCAAAGTGTCCTCCAAGTTGAATGTTTTCCAAAACCAAAATACACTATCTCTGCAACACATGTGACCATGATAAATCACCCAATGATGTTTTTCAAAATGTGCACATATACATACATATTTTAGCAACCTTTAGTTGTGTTGTGCCCCGAGGCAGAATAAAGAATCCCAAGATGAGCCACTGACGTACCGTAACCCTCACTTATCCTTAGAAGCTATCATGCTTATTGTATACTAATAAGTAGTAAAAAAGAGGGCAGACCAACTCGGTAACCTAACGACATAGTGGAGAGCACAACAAAATCAAAAACAAACCAAGACAAAACAAGCAGCGCATTAACCAGCAAGGAAAAAATAGCTCCAAGAATATAAAAGAAAGGCTTCAGAGAGGAAACTAACGTCTATTTTCCGAAGGTCCAGCACTGCATAGGCGTGACAGTCAACAAGGCCAGCTCGCTCACAGATATCTGGGCTCAATTTTCCAGTGGCCAACGTGATCAAGCAATCTCCGCGATGAAAACGAGAAAGAAGCTTTTCAAAGATCTGAAGAAAAAAAAACAAAATGAAGTTAAACACTATAATTCTAGGCACTGATACTGAGAAAGCGATAAGAAGGCTCACCTTATCGCCGTCAAAAGCTGGGTCATCTCTCTTTATCGATATCCTATCAGGTATCCACCCGGTTAAAGCATGTAAGTCGATATTCTGAAAAATTTCGATGAATTCCTGGAATACGCATAAGAAAAATCCAGGTTGTAATTATACAACCAAATTTACCGAGTTAGATCCAGGAAAATCATAACCACCCATGACCTTCAGATACGCTTTTTCCAATAACGATACCCACAGTTCTCCTTTACTCTGACTATGCGAACATAGTAGGCCCATGTTTTCATCCGTTGGAAGATAATCGTCAATTATGACCTACAAATAATAAGTAGAGAAAATAAAGAAAAGAATTTGGCAAATATAAGGAAGAGGCATGATAGGGAAACCTTTCTCCATACTCCATTGATGTGAAATTTGACCATATACTTGCCAGAAGGATTATATACAGGTTTGCCGGCCTTATTTTGCGGATAAATAATGCTGAAATAAATTCAGTCAGTAAAATTTCATTTGTGATCTGGCTTTAGGCAGGCTTAATTATGCTACTCAAAATATCACTTGCGATAGAGAAAAGTAAAAAGAAAAAGGTGCAAAGAATGAAAATTTCAGGTACCTCGTAATGACTTGTTTACCAAACCTCTTTTCGTATCGGGCAGTAATGGAAAGTGAGGCAACGAATGAGCAATCGGATATCACAGTCTAAAGATGTACAGAACTTGCCATTAGCACGAGGATGAGACAAATAGTGCTATGGAAAGAACCTGTTTTATAGTGCCACTATCAATATTGGAAATAAGTTTAGGTTCTTCAAAAATTTCATGCGGGCGCAACCATGCTTTCATTCTCTTCTTTTGCTTTTCAGTCAAGGAAAGTTTGCCATCCTTGTCACTGAAAAAGAACTCATGAAATAATTTTTTCATTTCCATTAGAAGAGAGAAAAATTTATACCTACGTGAATGGTATGGAATAGTTGAATTTTTCCTTAAGATCAACTGTCAAAAATGGCACGTATTTTCGCCCGTTTATGTACGACGTGGTGGCAAGCACTGCAAGCTCTTCTGGTGTTAAACCAACAGCAGCAGCCTGGAATGAACAAGCAACGATAACGATTAAAACTACAAAGAAGTTATTAGCAGTAGTGACGATTCGAAGTCGACTACGATCTTTAAAAGCACAAATAATTAGGAACGATCAAAAATGGGAAAATGAAAAAAGCATAAGAGTAAAAAGAGAGAAGAAGTAAGGCAAAACTAAAACACTAGAGGTGGTCAGATAACCCTGACACTGATTAATGGAAGGTATACGTCACCTTGTGTGGTGTGATTGGTGATCGAGAAGGTGTGCTGGAGCCGGAGTCAGGATCGGTAGCTAGGTTGAGACGAGATAGCTCTGCAATGTAAACATAATTCTTCAGTAATGCAAAAAAGGGGCAAAAGCAATACCATCAGTTGGAACATCAGGAAGGTTATCGGTAAGAGCCTCAATTCTTTTTCGCTCTTCAACCTTCTTGAGATGTTCAACACGCTCCAAAGCACTGTTGGCAATTCTGCGTAGCTTCAACCGAAGTTCCTCTTCAACACATTTCTCACCCTGATAAAAGTGAAACAGATGAATCTAAGTGCCAGCCATATTTATTTATCATTACAAAAAAAAANAAAAAAAAACTAAACATACCGCTTGAAGACACACTTGAATGGCCTCTGAATATAAGTCGATGGCCAGGGAACAATGACCTGACTCATCCAAAAGTTGTGCCTTCAACACGGCGAACTCCGCTTTTTCGAGTAAAATTCTGCATGGAGACTTTGTTGTCTAAATCCAAGACAGATGAACATACCATTATTAAAATAGTGACTTGATGCTTTCGACAACCTTCGCTAAATCGAGTAGACGAGGTAGATCTCGCTTCAAAAACTCTGCCCGCTCAACATATTCGAGGGCCTTTTTACTGAGGGCTGGCGAAGCCTGAAAATGCTCGGATTCAGATAAGTATTGCGCACTTCAAATTTATAAAGACTCGAATTCGAATTTCTGAGGGTTCAAAAGAATTAGGTTTCTTTGCTCTTGTTTCCACTATATCATTTATTTTAAAATTATTGAACTGAAAACAAGACGGAAAAGTTTCTTATAGGCCGACTCAATGTGTTCGAAATGGATAAAAAGTAGTAGAAATAAAATGTAGAGAGAAACTAGGGGAGAAAATCATAGAATGAGAAGATGTGTACTCGGAGAAACAAAAAAGACAGCAAACTAAGGTTGACATCAGAAAGCATTCGTCTTTTGACATTTCTCTCATAAAAATAACTGCAAATGTGCAACACATTACCAAAAAATATATTTTATTGACCAAAATGAAACGTATCCCCCGCCACTACTTCAACTGAAGTTTACAGTGCGGTTCACAGTGAGTAATGTGTACATAAAGGCACCGCTCTTCTTGAGCAATAAAAAAAAAACGAAATAAATCAAATATCCGATCTGGCTTCACTAAGATCACCGAATGTGAAATAATACACTCATTTGAGCTAATTTCAAAAAATGAGTTGAAAGGTTTCATTGGAAATGAAGCACAACGTGAAGAATTTTTTTGCGTGTCCATCTAAAGAGCTTGGGGAGCAAAGTTGTCTCTGGTCAGGTCCTAGAATAACACTTCAGGGCGTAATTGAACTTGCTGAGCTTTCGCGAAAATGAAAATTAATCGACCAATCATCTGGCCAACTTCTTTCAACCAGATGGACGAACACCAGAAAAAGGTGGTTCGATCCAGTTCAGCATAGTCTTACGAAGTTTCTAGGAACTCAAAACTCCAAAGATGTAAACGAGGAACCGTGCTCGAGAACTCTACCGGAACGTTTGCCCCTTGTTTTATACGAGCCGACGTTCCCGCTCATATCTCTCATACACAGGCAGAACCATCAAAAAAGTCGTTTGGTGAATCAGACCAAGGTTACATAAACAAGTTCTTCGGTGAAAATGTAGTTCATTTCTTACCCATCTAATCATCTCACCCACCCCGGAGCTCCTCCTCTAACTTTTAGAAGGGGAGAAATCCATCTGTGCGATCTCTAAGCACTCTGCCGCTAGTGTCAGAGACGCAGAGCACAAATGGGCGCTGGCACCCCCCAACTACATTTTCATCAAGTTCTTCATTTGTATCACATTTTCTATAAAAAAACGTAAGATCTATAAAAACGCTCCTCACGGGATTTCACAAGAATCGGAACGAACTGCAGCCGCATGCAAAATTAATGCAGAATAGCGAATTGCTATCAGCTGGGAGGGCATCACACGACGACTTGATCGATAGCAAAAACAGATGGAAAACGATTTTGAACAACGAACCGAACGGTTCTCACCTGTTTAGAATGAACTAGAGCGAGAATTCGGTCAGCAGCTTCTCCGTAACAGTAAATAGCCTCCTCATAGCGTTGAGCTTGATCAAAAGCTATGGCTCGCTGGGCAAGCTGCATCGCAGACGACGTTGCATCGCCGTAGTCGCCCATCGCCACTGCCGTCAGGCCCGTTGTCTTGGCCCGCCCTTGCACCCCACGTGGGGTACGCGGCCAGCATTACGCGGCGGCTGTCAACAACGTGGGTGAAAAATGATTGGATAAAATTGACGCCTGGAAAAGGTTGCTTGCTGCAATTCAACGAGCATCTCTCATTGACAAGGTAATTGGAAATTGAATGAGCACTTAACCTGAGTTCTATGTTTTATTCTGTGCCCGTCTACGTCCTCTCACAAAAAAAGGCAGCATTGAGCTAAGGCTTCGGTGAGCTTGATGTAACTTTGAGAAAATCTGTAATTGCACCAAATCAATGACGACAGTGATCGATAAATAGTAGAAATGATCAAAAATTATACAAAACTTTCTTAGCAGAAGTCATATAGGCCTTGTTTTAACACTATCTGAGAGAGGAGGCTCAAAGGAGCACATTGACCGCACACCAGACTACACGTCGGCATCCGGTGGTCGAGCCCTCGGAATCAAGGGACAGTTTGATTTTAGTTGGGTTTTGAGTTTGTTTGTGGATGACCTAACCCTGGATGATTACCTTGTGCAGAAAGCTGGATGGGGTTAGAAATGAACTTCCAATTGGCTCACCCCCTCAGGTACTCGTGAGGCTAACTGGTAAGATAAAAAACTATGTGTTCTAGGCACCACTACAGAGATGCTACTTTCTCAAGTCAGTAAGCAAGCGCGCTCAGAGCAATGTGCGTTGCTAAGATCTTGATGCAATAAATATTCTTGGATTACTGTAATTTAACCTTACAACCAGTCGTTTACATTTATGTGTTAGGTGACAGGACCAGATTCCACCCACAGGGGACGGGGCGTGAGAGATAATAGTTGATCTGGACATACAGCGTACGTATTCGATGGGGCTACAGCGCCAGTATGGGAAAGCTGATAGTAGGTGCTTGGCGTGGGAATGCATGAGAAAAACAAATATTCTAACGGAAATTTAGGGCTGTTGCTCCCGTGGACCAAGAGCTTCAAGATTGGTAGAAGTACAGAGGTGGGCGGTGTATTTCCACACTGCCACCTGTGCTCCTACCAAATTCGCTCTAGGTCCACGGGAACAAAGAAATCCGCTAGGATGGTGTCGCTGTGTACTCATAACAAGCATAAAACTCGAGAGGTTATGTGAACTCGTTTACTTTTTAAAATGACTAAGTCGCTACCGATCTGCGCAGTAAAGAAGCAGAGTAGAAGTAGAATAAGGCGTCGAGTTTACTCTGAACGTAGAGACTGGAGGACATTAAAAAAGTATTAATTAGGTGGCAGGATGTAGAAGGTTGTTGAGTATAAACGAGCCAGACCGTTACAGCCGGGTATGGGTTCATCCCGATTCTGGACGGACCCGCGGCGAAATTCGTGGCGATTTAAACGACTCTGCGCCTATCATTGGGGCACAGGTTTTAAGTAGAACGGTTAAGTAGGGTCAGCTGATGCTAATGTCTACCATACTTCCAATTTGTACCCCAATAATAGGCACCAGAATCGCTCAAATCACCACGAATTTCGTCGCGCAGTTTGCTGCATCCATCCAGAATTGGGTGAACGTCCCCTCCACCTACAACCATATTGTAAAGGAATGCCATGTGATCATCCTGGCATTACGGGATAATAGGCTGCTCTAAGACCAACGATTCAACCAACGTCCGCCCGTCCAGCACTTGATCCGGTGTTGTCAACAAGTGGCTAGGGAAACCGTCGCACGCACGCAACGTGCCTTACGGACGAACGGACGTCGGCTAAATCGTTGAAGTCTGAAAGCAGCCATACGCCGCGCGCGAATGGTGTGACCTATGTGGTTTTGTCGACGATAGCATCGGACGTGCCTGATGAAAAATAGACAAAAAAATGCAGAAAGCGGCAGTGGTTCTGTAGGGATGCGCTTCGTTCCACGCGTCCGTCGAAACTAGGTCACGCCGCAGCCGTCGCACATTGCGTGACAGCCCGCCATCTTTGGCAAACGTCGTAGTTGCCAGCGGGGCATACAAATTGCGCTTGGGTCCGGAGTCTTTCCCCCGAAAATCACGCGCCGCATATCGCTGGAATGCGATGGAAGATCGGAGCGCGCTATTTATGAGGTAGAGACTCCTTTAATTATTTGAATTGGCTGGCCGCTCTGCTCAGTTCCAGTGGTCTTGATCATCACTAGTGGTCTTGATCATAGCTTGATCATAGGAGGAGTCATTCTAATTAATCAAGTCTAATAAACATAAAAACGGAAAGGAAACAGGAAAAACGATCGAACCTAATAAAAAAGAAAGTCAACCGATGGAAAATATTGCGTCATATCGACTGGCGGNGGGGGGGGGGGGGGGGGGGTGCGCTTCGTTGCGCGCGTCCGTCAAAACTAGGTCACGCCGCAGCTGTCGCGTGCGGAGGGTCAGCCCGCGATTTTTGACAGACGTCGCAGTTATCAGTGGAGCATATGGTTTGCGCTTGGTCCACGGCAGTCAGCCAATAGGAAGATAACACGGACAAATGCAAATCATTCGCTCCGCTCACACTTGCTGGTACTGTAATGTAATCTCGAAACCTCAGTAGGGTGCGCCGCGCGCGAAGTGGGCGGGGTGACCTACTTTCAACGGACGCGCGCAACGGACGTTCGCCGAGACGGGGTGATCACGGTAATTGCAGGGACATTTGCCGCAATGTAGAGTGCCGCAATCGGGGGAAGTTCCGTTACCCATTGCGCTCGGTCCATGGCAGTCAGCTTAAAGTGAATATAACACGGACTGGAGCAAATCATTCGCTCCACTGACCTTTGGTGGTTCTGTTATTTCATGTCGAGATCGCAGTAGGCTGGGGAAGTGGCCGGGTGAGCTAGTTGCGACGGGCTCGCGGAACGGGCGACTACCGTGCCCTTTCACTGGCTGTTTCCAGAGTCCGCCGGCCGGCCGCGTGCCGCTTGTGGCGGGGATAGCCACTTATTGACAACACTGGACACCGATGGATCACGTGCCAGTGTTGTTAACAAGTGCCTTGAGCCGCCGCGGCAGGCACGCGCGCGTTCGCCGGGATGGCCGGCGGACTCTGGAAGCAGCCACTACGATTTTAGAGAATTGTAAATTTTGCCTTCCATAGCGCGGATTGCGCGATTTCGGATGCGGCGGGCGCGACGCGACTTTTGGGTAGAAGTAGTCGGGGGACGGTACGAACGTGCGTCCGAGGGT